GTCATTGAAGCAGTGGCCAACGGGCCAGTAGTTCCTCGGTAGTCCACAGGCATCGAGAACCACATCCGATCTTTCATCTGACCAGGCGAACGACACGAGGCTGAAGAGACAGAGGAAGGACACTGGGACATGAAACTTCGTCAGCCTGGTTTGACATCGCACACGATTGTTTCATCATCATATGATCTCGTCCACACAGCAGGGGAAACTTGCCATGGATCACATAGGGTGAGAGTTTGTGATCCCACTCAGCCATGAAAGGAAGGATGTGTACGAAATCAGAGATGGCGCGGCCAAACTTGAAGATCATAACATACAAAAGTATCTTGAAGCACAAAAATATCTCACTGCAGAACGTTTGACATGCCCTGTCTCATCTGAGTCCCCCGTGACCGCTGCTGCTCCCCTCTTACCTGCCTGGTTCGCCATTCCTCGTTTATGTGTCCGACGGTCGGGCACTTTGTCGAGTGAAAGTTGACTAAATTTACTGGTCCCGGTCCTGGAGACCGTCGTCGGAGATGAAACCGTCTTCAGTTCATGCTTCCCAAGTTGGAACTTGAAGGTCATCAGTGGCGCAGAGTCTGATCTGTAGTGCTCCCACGGCACAGTCTGACCGTCACTGTCTACGAAATCACCTTGGACAAGTGAAGTTCATGTGTGTTTATTTCATCTTACAACTATGGCAGGCGGTCTGTGGACTTGCATGCGATATCGATTCCAAGCATGTCGAGAGCTCTTTTCAGTCAGCAGATCTTTGCCTTCGATCTTGGCCTGCTCTTCAAAGCAAGTTCTCAGCCTCATGTCCGATCGATTGCTTAGTTGCCGTAAAGTTGGATTTCTGAGGGTGCCTTGGTTGGACGCGGGTTTCAACGGCTGGTGCACCTGATAGTTGCTTTCGACCTCTGAGATCCAAGAAAGAATTTGTTCTACCATCCCCATGTCAACAATAGCTTTGACGGACTTCGCAGTATTCATATCTAACAGTGAGGGTATCTTGTCCACCATGGTTCGCAACGAGACAATGTTCGCTTTGATCTGTAAGATGTTTCCTCCTAGCCTGTTCGGAGCGTTTATATGGCTCTTCTGCATGAATATTGCCTGACTGTCGTCGCTATGAAGAATTTGCATGAATGTCACCATAAGCCGGCTTAGCTGTTCCAAACTATGTCGCAACGAGTGAAGCTTTCCATCGTGACTTACAGCTACTTTGTCAAGCACGCTGAAGTGAATCTTTGCTGTGAGGGAACAAATTGCTTCTTTGAGCTCTTTGCAGGACTTGTGAGCAGAATCCAGAACACCACGAAGCTCTTGGTTGGTCATGGAAGATATCGATTCGGTTCTTTTCATTTGGAGGTTTTCCTTGATTTCCTTGTTAATAGTATTGAATGGTCTGATCGAAGACTTCTCAGGGTATCGCAAGCTCCCTTTGTGCCAATCTGTTGCTTGTTTTGAAAAGACAAGAGTGCGATGATTTGCTCTCACTCCACGACATGGCGATCTTGCACAATGCCGAGCGTCCCACGCGATTCCAACATTGCTTCCTTTCTTCGCAGGATTCCTCACGGTGCTACAAGCCTTGGACAGAACCTTGGACCTACTGGGAGAGAGAAAAGGCTGGCGGGACATCTTGCACTGCTTGCTTCTCGTCTCCTTCCTCTGCCCTCCCGGGTTGCGGTTTCGTCGATTTCGCCTGTGGGGATGTTGAAGAAGCCAAGGGCGGGGGAAGGGGTAGGGTGATTTGCTACTAAGAGATAGGGGTGGAGAGGCGTTTCAGTTTGTTATGTTTCGGTTGTAGGGGATGGCCCGACTCGGCGACCATGACATGTACCGCGCGGCGCGACTCAGAAGTCGGAACCTTGCGACCGTCACTGGTGAGAGCCTTCAAAGTATTGAACCGTCAACTCCGACCTCTGACTGACGACCGTCATGTCTGAAAGGCCCAAGTTCAGATCTCGTCGCGTAACAAATTTTCAATCAACTACCGTACCGGTACGGCCATTGGCCACTCACGGCGGCCGCCCCGGGCACTGCCGTTCAACGGTTGGTGACCGGGTGGCAGTCAGTCGGTCATAACTGAGAAGAGCCAAGTTATCACAGTATTGGTGACTTGGCGAAGTAAAATCTATAGATCTGTACAGTGGTACATATCTTATATCAGTCTTGCGATAGGTCAGCGGCCCGGGGGTGAAGCAAATGCGAGCGAGCGAGCTCGTTGCAATCAACAAGGATATATTGCAAACAATTTTGAAAGAGCGTAAACCAATCTTCGATGCTTAGGCATAGTAATTGAGGGAAGTCTTCTTCTTGGCTTGCACAACTGCGATACCCTCAACATAGTCTTCGTGTCTGAGTTCGGTTCCACCTCTCCTGAGTGCCAGCATACCAGCTTCCACAGCAACGGCCTGAAACAGCAGGGTTCAGCAAATTTCAAGTAGAAAATGGGAATGACTCTTTCATCCTTACCTTCAGCTGTGCCCCGTTGAAATCATCAGTACATCTTGCTAGCTCTTCGTAGTTCACATCGTCACTAACATTCATTTTCCTGGAATGAATCTGTAGAATCCTTGCCCTGGCCTCTTCGGTGGGGTGTGGAAATTCGATTTTGCGATCCAAACGCCCGGAACGGAGGAGGGCAGGATCGAGGATATCAATTCTATTCGTTGCGGCGACCACCTTAATACGATCCTCACTGCTGAATCCATCCAATTGATTGAGCAACTCCAACATAGTTCTTTGAACTTCCCTTTTCGCAAAGTCAGCGCCAATGTGAGAAGAGGTTAATCCAAATTACCTGTCTCCTGAAATATCACTGTCGAAGCGCTTCGTGCCCACTGCGTCCAGCTCATCAATGAAAATAATAGCTCCTGAGTTGTTCGACCCCGGACCAGACTTTTCTTTTGCCAGAGCAAAAGCATCTCTGACAAGTTTCGCACCATCTCCGATGAACATTTGCACAAGCTGAGGCCCTGCCAATTTCAAGAAGCAAGCATTCGTTTGGGCCGCACATGCTCTTGCCATGAGCGTCTTTCCCGTTCCTGGAGGCCCGTATAGTAGGACTCCTTTTGGTGGACGAATACCAATAGCTTCAAACCGTTCTTTATGTGTTAGAGGCAGGACGAGCGCCTCCACCAACTGCGCCATAGATGTTAGTGAATACTTAGACAGCGATGACAAGGCAGTCACTTCACCTCTTGAATTTGCTTGTCTAGTCCACCAATATCGCTGTATTCTTCCGTGGGCTTCTCATCAACCTCCATTGCTTTTACTCTTGAATCATACTCTGCGGGAAGCGTGTCCAAAATCAAATAGCTGTCCTTGTTCACCCCAACAAGGTCTCCAGGCTGAAGCTTTTCAGGGTCGACCAGACCAACCACCGGCAAGAAAATGGTCTGGCGAGTAGATGTCTTGATCACTACACATTTTCCCTTTCGGTGAGAGTCCAAATCCACATTTGCGCCATCATCCTCGACTTCGTCTTTCTCCTGGAGTTCCAAAATCTGTGACCGGAGAAATTATTGGTAAGTTGAGATTGCCGACAGAAATCAATATCAAAATCATGTACCTCAACAATATTTCCAACTAAATAGGGAAGCTGCTTATTGAGTTTGATCTTATCCGTGTTCTCCTTAATCCTTTCGTTGGTGCTGCTCTGTTCGTGCTTCAAGCGAGTTTCTTCAGACTTCATCGCTTTGATTTCATTGTCAAGCAATCTGCAAAGAACCTTACAACGATAATATTCACGATTGATGTCGAAAACCTGCAACGGGAGTTGATTTCCTCTGCTGTTGCTCTGAGGATATCCTCTCCGAGAGCACTCGCAATTTCATCATCCAAGTTCGCCATGATAGCGAAAACCCGGCAACCTGACAACGAATTACAATCGAGCAAGTCTTATCCACAATTGACTGTTGCAACAAATCATCCTCTGTTTTAGTAGAGTCTAAACTAAAACCTCCAAACGTATATATCCTCGCATGGTTCGAATTTGAACGTTTTCCACCCGTCCTCGTGCCTAATTTAATCATGATCCAACCTGCTAATCGCAAAATCCGATCTGTTCTATTTATATTTCTGCGCTCGAATCCTCATGACGGGCAAACTCCTCATTCGCAGGCCCAGCGATCGATTCCATTATCACCTTCACTGCACTGACATCGTTTCAGCTCTCTAACTCCCCTTCCCATGTCCTATTTCACTCCTTTCCTTTCCCTCTCTCCTCTTCATCTTCTTGCTTCTTAGTGTCGTCTTCACACCACTCTCTCTGCTCTCCATCATCCTGATCTTTCTTGCCCTGCCATGATCCAACTGTCTCGATGTGCATAGAAACAGCGACAGCTGTCCTCAATAGCACCACCACTACTGTTACCTGCTCTTTTCAGTCAGGTAGTGGGGTACTACATCGACCAGTCGACTGATGGGGTACTTGCGCTCTAAAGTACCGGTAATGGATACCACGGGTTAGTTTTACTTGAAGGGTTTGGACTTAATAAAGACTTGGGGCAATATGAGGGGAAGGGGTATGTACCCTACCCCCATTTTACACAACATCTTTTTGTTGACCCCTCCTCAAAGACTTTTTGAATCTAATAGTACCCGGTTGAATATAACCCTACCTGTCCTACTTGCGTTTCAGAGGACCCTTACCCCCCTTTGCATCTCAACCCTGATCCTGGCCATGCGGGCTTTCGCCGCCACAGCATGGCGGGCGATCCAGGAGGAAAGGACGAGAGACCTGCAGGTAACAGTCCATGGCATCACAATTCCACAAGAATCTCACAATGTCGCTGTTTTCCATACCATCATCCTGCTCTCCGCTATCCTCACCAATAGATCGACTTCAATCAGGGCACAGGTCATGCTCGGGTCGCTTTCGGTCTGTTCACCCCATCACTTGCTTTCAATGTGACTAGCATAACAACCAAATCCATGCGCTTTTGTCATGGCACGATCAAAACAACAACTTTGTCGCTCTGACATGCATGATTCTGCGGGTGACAACCTTTGGTTCATTGTGTCACATATCGCAAGAGCTCGCACAGGCCCGTGCGAAGCATATGATTCATGCATTACATTATGGTGTACACCTGCTCTTGAGTGTATCAGGATGTTCAAGACTTGTTCGCTGCCTCCCACCCCCAATGCCTGCATGACAATGTTTTTTGCAGGCTGAATTCGACAAGAATCGGGAGGTCCTTACGAAACAGCTAGAACACCGGCAGGCAAACCTTGTAAAGCTTCAAGAAAAGAAAGACCTGGCTGTCCTGGAGGTCATGGACGATGGCAGCACTGAAGACGAGAGTAGCCGCGCTGTAAGGCAGACCAATGCCTCGACCATGCAGGAAAGGGGCAATAAACACCTTGCGGTGCAGTGGGGAAAGCCCCAGCCAAAACGACGGATAGTCACTTTCAGAGTGAACTCTATAGAAAAGATTGAGAAGCCTGTGATTGTTCGCTTCCTTGTTGCAAGCCGTGTTGATGGATCCGTAGGTGTTCAACATGCCTAGAGTGCCTGCTTACCCCTGCTACCGTTCGTGGACCACCCTAGCTCGTAACATGTCAGTAACATACTGAGCACTGAGAACAAAGTGGATGGTTGATGGCATGCTGAATCTCAGGTTTGTGGACGATGACCCAGTCTTGCGATCTCTCCCATATTTCGGAGAGCAGGATGAAGGACCCTTGGAGTTCTTCGAGCGAGGGTGCCCTGCCTGTTGTTCCACTGTCGTCCCTGAACAGTTTGTGCAGGTATGAATCAATACTTGCCGACACGAGCAAGTACAGCGATGTGGATGTTCTAGTGGATCCCAGAAGGTTTTCTTGTGGAATGGTTGTGAAGTTTCTGATATCTTCCTTAGAGTTTGCTTTCGAAAGTTGATCGACTCAATCTTCAAGAAGTGTGGAGTTTGCTCATTTGTTGAGATCCCTTGTGTAATCACAATGGCAGGTTTGGTGAAAGTCATGAGACCCTTGTCGAGCTCTGTGATGTCTTGAACGACATTGAGGTTGTATGCTTAGATTGACTTTTCCTGAGCCGTTGACGGCTGAATGTGTCTTGAGTAGAAAAGTGAGGAGAATCGGGGCGAGCAAGGTTTCAGTGAGCAAGAACCGGAGATGAAAGTGAGCGATAATGCTGTGGTGAAAGTCTCTTTCACTGTGGAGAATGAGGTTAGCCTTGTGAATCTACCCAGGAAGCAAATGTTCATCAGCTTGACAGGATGTGAACGTTCACACGCGTCTTGGGGGGGAGGAGAGATTTTCCGCTTGCAGTGACAAGCTCAGCCATTCTGATAGACCTGAGCTGCAACATCAGCAACAGATACCTGCTGACGATCTGCTGGATTGTGCGCATGAATCCCGTCCACAAGAGCAGAAGAAAGAGCCTAAGGGTCATTCGAAAAGGCGAGGTCGCCCCAGCATCGCAGCGAATTTTCACGTGTGGACCATTAAGGTTGTCAGCAGGAGCTCTCTGGTGTGTCGGCTTGACTGTCATGACAGGAGATCATGGATGAAAAAGATATCTTGAAGAAGGAGCAGGTGGACAAAGTTGTGACCGAGGATCAAAACCAAGTATGTTGTTGTTTGTTGTGCCCTCGCGTTGGACAGGAACGACATTCTAGTCGCCGGCGGTGACTTTGGCTTGCTTCAGGGCCCCATAGGCGAAGATACGTACAGAACGTTGTTCTGCAGGTCGAAGCACTACTCTGTGCCTGACAAACACTGATGCTGAATGGGTTCAGGCGCTGCTTTCGTTACGATTGTAACGCCCATGGAATAGCCCAGCCCATGCCCATGGTAAGGCTTCAGGCAGTGAACATATTGTGGGTAACATGTCATGAAAACAGGCGAGACCGACGGTCATCTCGCGAAGTGATGGGACATGGGAGGAAGAAGGAGTGAATGGTGGAAATGCCGAGCATCGAGACGCAGGGGTCGTTGACAGCAACTTAGATAGAAGGGGAGCAGGGGAAATAGGAAAGAGCGAGGGAGCAGATGCATCACCCCATGATGAAGCGAATAGAATCGACAAGAAGAGGGAGCTAGCGCTCGAGACAGTTATGCGGATCTGTGGGAACGACTTTCAGACCGCCTCGAGGCTTCTCGGGGAAGAGTGGAAGGAAAGGGAGATTTATCGCTTCATGAAGGACCAGGTAGACAGATCGAGGCAGTGTCTTGCTCTCCCTCTGACATGTCCAACTCTCGCTACAGGGCTGGCTGGAAATGTTGCACAAACTTGCGCTGTCAAGGTCGAGTGACAACAACGATCAGCCAGTGGTACACCAGGCGCCAGCGGAGGCGATGGCAGCAGCAGGGACTGATCAGGAAGAGGACGTAAAGCAACAGGATAAAACTTCTCCAGATTTCAAGAACCGGCTCTCGAACGTCGTCTACGACGACGACGTCAGGAGCGAGGTTTACAACGCAGGCTTGACGCACGAGAAGAGGAGGAAGATACAGAAGGTATTGGGTGACCAGGAGATGTCGAGCTGCCGCTGCTGAATGCCAGTACAGGCGAGAATGAACACCATCACCTACAAGAAACGTCGGACGCTCTCCGGACTCCAGGTTTCCACTTCCGCCCTCGTTGCTTCCCTTCTGGCACCTGTGGAATTGCTCTCCCCTGCTTCTCTCGCACCTTGTTGCTGCTTCCCCTCCTGGCTGCTACCTCCTGTTCTGTCTCCTCACTGACTCGTCCTACCTTGTCAGCCTCCCTTCACACCCTGCGAGTGCGGAAACCAGGGGAAACCCTGCCTGCCAGATCAGGTGAGATTCCTACAGCAATTCTGAGGAGGGAGGGAGGCTGGGAGAGTTTCGAGCATCTGAGCATATTTCTCGGCAGTGCTCCTGCATCGAAGCCGGAAATTTCTGCGAGAAGCAGTGCAGTTGCCATGCCGACTGTGTTTATCGCTTCCCGGGTACGGGCGAGCAGAAGGGGCTGAGAGGTTGTGACGTGGCTGCCTTGCGCAGGTTGTCAGTGCAAGAGGGAGAACAAGAGGTGTAGAACGAGCGCCTGCCCGTGCTACGCAGCCAACAGGGAGTGTGATCCAGATTCGTGCCTGTGCGGAGCGAGCCAGGTGCTCAGTTTTCCTGCTTTTCTTCATTTGTCTCCTCTGTTCCCCTGCCTGCATGTGAAAGGCGATCTCGCTCCCTCTTGCCTCAGCTCCTCCGTCCTCCTCTCTCCTGCCTCCTCCCTTGACACAGATGGTACCAGCTTCAGAACTTCTTCGGGCCCCCAAGGAGCTCGCATGCAAGGAGGGTAGCGGACACGAGCAGCGAGCAGGAGGACTCGCCGGTGAAATGCGGCTCGAGCTCGAGCATTGGCGAGTGCTGCAATACCAACCTGCTTCAACGAGTACTCTGCTGCTCTTGCTGGAGCTGCCGGGGGCTGACCATTCTTGCAGCGGCATGCTCGGCTGCGCATGGGAATCAGCGACGTGTCTGGCTGGGGCCTGTTCTCCTCCGACGACCTTGAGAAGGACGAGTTCATCTACGAATACATGGGTCGTTAGGAGCGTGAGAGGCTGAGGGCTGAAGGGACTGTGTGCAGGGGAGTTGATATCGCACGAGGAGGCGGACAGGAGGGGGTACATCTACGACAAGATGCGGTACAGCTACCTGTTCAACCTCAACGAGGTAAGGAGAGGAGGTGGAGGGGAGACTGGCAGAGGGAAGGTGAGCGTGGTAGAACAAGAGGGAGGATCAAGATGGGCAGAATGTTTTGGAGGAGCATTCATAGAGGGGAGGAGGGAGGAGGGAGGAGGGAGGAGGGATCTTTGTGCGAGGGGAGAGTTTCGGAGGAGGACCCATGTTTCATCTCCTTGATTCCTTGTAGAGCACAGTAGTCGATGCATCGAGGAAGGGAAACAAGACCAGGTTTGCAAACCACAGCAGCCATCCTAACTGCTAGTACGTCCCTGCTCCTGCCACGTGTGTCCCCGTCTAACCTGCGACCGTGAAGTTGCAAGATCATGCTGGTCAACGGGGAGCATCGCATCGGAGTGTACGCCAAGGAGGTAAGGAGGGAGGGAGGGAGGGTCAGGAAGAGAGCGGGAGAAAGAGAGCGGGAGGAGTGACAGTGGGCAGAGAAGGAGATGGGGAAGTGGCAAGACAGGCAGGGAAAGGAATCCAACAGGCTGGTCGCAGGCGATTACTAGCGGGGACGAACTATTCTACGACTACCGGCATGGACTAGCCTATGACGTCGGTAAGCTCCTTCCGCCTCCTCCTTGCTTCTCCCCTCCTGCTACCCAACTCTTGACCCCTTGCCCTGATCCAACGCCATTGCAGGGCTCTCAGCAGTTCCAGATTGGATGGAGCGATGATGATGGGGCACGGGGAAGAGGAGGGAGGGAGGGGATGGGGATGGGGGAGGGGAACGACATAACTAACGTGAATGAAGGTGTCAATGTATTCTTAGACGCTGATCTCTCGTTGCCGACCACACGGTTCGAGATCGTTGGTTCTTTGCCTTCTCCCCCTCCCCCCGGTGCTGGGCTCGTCAGGCGAGAAACACGGCTGAGCTGGGGCTTAGCTGGCGATCGAAATTTGACCTGCTCACTTCCCGCACATCTTGAGCAGACCTGCGACCATAGACTACCGGAAGGTTCAGGCAGATAGATGGAAGCGGGGATAGAAGTAGGGTAGGAGGGAGGAGAGGAGGGGAGGAGAGGGGAAGCGAACATCTTCATATACCTCTTTGGCATGAACAGAAACTGGAGACTCACCCTGTGAGCTAGTGAGTGAGAAGAAGGATTCCTGCTGCTGCTGCTGCTGCTGCTGCTGCTCCTCCTCCTCCTCCTCCTATCCCCCGCTCTTTTCTCTAGTCCCTCCCCCCTCCTCACCAGGTAAATGTCAAACATAGCCTTGCAAAGAGGAGCTGACGAAAATGTTTTCTTCTGTCCAAGAGCTGAAACCTGCACCAACCCATCTCAGCTTCACCGCCCTCTACCACCCCCTGCTTTTCCTCTCCCACGGACCCCTCTTCCTTCCTCCATTTGCCAACCTGGAGGTCACTTCCCATCTGGATGAAGTCGATCTCATTGTTCGTCTCCAACTTGCTCATCGAGCCGAAGAAGCTGCGAGGACTCTTGAGAACGGAGCAGAGGAAGCATGAACAAACACCCTGCAAGAGGGAAGCGGAAGAGGAAAAGGAAGACATGGAAATAGAGGAGGAGGAGGAGGAGGAGGAGGAGGAGGAGGAGGAGGAGGAGGAGGAGGAGGAGGAGGAGGAGGAGGAGGAGGAGGAGGAGGAGGAGGAGAAGGTACGCATGTGCAGCACGGAAGAAGGAGAGGCGACTTTGATGTTTCACCTCTTGAACGCATCCAACGGCGCATCTGTCCCCTTGACCCTGCGGTGAGTTCAGAGCCCAGGCGACTCCCACCAGCCTCCCAGCTCGCAGCTACCTGGGCTCAAGAGACTCCGCAAGCGCATTTCCGATCTTCTCAGCTCCAACTAGTGGAGAAGGTAAGGAGGAGAAGGGGAGCGAGGGAGGGGAGAGGGGAGAGGGGGACAAGAAGAAGGATTCCAATGACTCGACAGCAAGTACACGTGTAACGAGCAAAGACATGAGGGCGCCTAGCAGAAACGAAGAGGAGGAGGAGGAGAAGGTGGTGGCAGCGGTGGCGGTGGAGGACTGGCAGAGGAGGCAAGGAGAGAGGAGGGAGGAGGGAGGAGGGAGGAGGGAGGAGGGAGGAGGGACTGGTTGGAACCGGTTCGAGCCATGACGATCTTGAGCGCTTTAGGGTACGAGCCCTCTAGGAGGGCCTTATTCGCAGACTTCTCGTCCTTGGGAGCCGCCGCCTGAAGCACTGAGTCAACAGACGCAGACTCGTCTCTCCCTGTCCTACTCATAGACTGCTCTGAACCTCCTGTCCCTCCTTTTCCAACCCTCCACTTCCCCATTCCCCCCCTTCAACAACCTCCCTTCTCGTTCTATTTGCTGTGCTCTCCTCTCTTCTTCTCCTCTCCTCTCCTCTCCTCTCCTCTCCTCTCCTCTCCTCTCCTCTCCTCTCCTCTCTCCACCTTTGCAGCGTCGGAGTCAACGTACATCCCCACCGCGTACACATTCACAGCAACGGGCCCCAGGATAGCCTTCTTCCTCTCGCCAGCTCCAATGAACTGCAAGCAAAGTGAGATGAGCATGCCGGACCAGCAAGAGCAAGCAGAACCTTTAGGAGCTTTGAACCTGCCTTGACGGTCTCCGGGAAAGTGATTCCTGTCCGAACGATCGTTAGAATCAAAAGCGAAGGACATGTATGCATTGGGTACACGCTCACTGGAAAACCGCCAGCCTCTACAGGAAGCAGCGCAGAGTATAGCAGGGAGGGGAGAGGGTGGGAAGAAGAGGAAATCATAATCATGATAATAGACAGGACTCTCCATAAGATCATCTTGTTCACATCCATGAAAATGTTGCGATCTTGTACTCTACCTGTGTGTTTCTCAACAAATCCCGATCCTCCTCGTAGGCGGTTCGCCAGCGCACCGCCCTGCTGAGCCTGCGCGACCAGGAGGGGGGAGGAACGTGCATAGGGGCTGAGGGACGAGGATGCAGGGAGAGAGAGGCCGCCTTCTCCTCTGCATGCCGCCAGTGCCGCCACGATAGTTAGCGCCTTCAGCATTGTTGTATCGAAATCTGGATCCTTTGTGGAGTGGCAGAGCAAAACCGATATTTGGATCTTATCTCAAATATATGTAAATTTTGACCAAATTTATTTTGAAAATATAATATATTATGAGAAATAATTTCAAACTCAAAGTTCCAAGACCCTCAGTGATAATCCTATGAAACACACATAAACAGGGTGGTCTCAGTTGTGACTAAATCGATTCAAATCTGATACAGGTCAATTTGAATCAATTCAGTCCATTCCGTCCGATCTCCCCCACCTGGGGAAATTCAGCACGACTCACAAATATGAGAGAATTTGAGAAAAATGTTGAAATTCTTTTCAACAATTTCAACATTTTTATTTTACAGGAACATGATTTCATTCACCCTACCCCTCAGATCTGGAATTTTCTCCCTACACAGCTCCCTACACCTCATCCACAATGGCAGGATACTGCTTGAGAGTGGGTTCATGGCTTCGCTTGTCCGATAGCGGCCATGCTGTTCCTACCTGCCATGGCTTCCTTCTCCGATCATACTACGTCGCCCCACCACCGTTTGTTGCCTCCCACCCCCTTGATTCCCTTGTTGCTACGTCCTGTTTTCCAACGATTCACATCCCCCAACCACCTCCCCTGCCACCTTGCAGCCCACTGATCTCCCGCCTCGTCCTCATGCTGTTCTTGTCTCTCATGCCGCATGCTGCCGTATGCCAATCTAGTCATTGAAACCCCCTCTACATTTCGGAGATTTCGAATGCAAATGAGTTTACACGAGATAGGGTCGGAATGAGTATGGACACGCTTGTACAACAGCAAAGTTTTTGAGAGCATAGCTTGTATTTTACATGCATTGTAATCTCATTTCCAGGACCACCTCCAAGACATGAAGAAACTTATAAACAAGCTTGAGAAGGTAACCGGAGTTGATATCGACGGGGATGGCAAGATTGCTGGAAAGCATCAAGTGCACCATGGGCATCATGGGCATCATACCGGATACGTTCAGAATGTCCACAACAACACGGGGAATATTGCGCAGCATCCTGCAGCAGGGTACGCACAGGCGCCTGCTGGGACGGAGTGTCTGCCGGCTGGGTGGGAGAAGAAGTTCGACCCTTCCATCAGGCGTTACTTCTACGTGAACCACAACAACCAGACCACCCAGTGGGAGCCTCCGGCTCAGGCCCAGCAGGGGTACTACGGCCAGAGCCCAGCCAACAACTCGTGCGGGTCGTGCGGGAGCGTAGTGGAAGCGAACGCGCGCTTCTGCCCCAACTGCGGGACGGCAATAAGTGGGTTGGGGGCCCAGCCCAATGCACACCAGCTTCAGTCTCTCTCAGCTCAGTGGAAGCCTACCAACTTCTCCAACTTCCAGATGTACAACAACAACGGTACCGTAGGCTACTCGCAGGCCGTCACGCAGCCGGTGAATACTCTGATACACAGCAGCGGCAGGAAGAAAGCTCTTCTGATCGGGATCAACTATGCAGGGACTCGCAATGCGTTGCGGGGTTGCATCAATGACGTGGAAAACATGCAGCAGCTGCTCCGAAAGGAGGGATTTCGCCGAGAGGAGATGGTGATCCTGACAGACGACGGAAGAGGCGATGCGATGCCAACAAGGAACGAAATCCTGCGGGCTTGTCAATGGCTGGTAGCTGGAGCAGGGCTAGGGGACGTCTTGTTCTTTCACTTCAGCGGTCACGGCTCTCAGCAGCGGGACGACAGCGGGATGGAGTCTGATGGATACAACGAGACCATTGTTCCCTGCGACATGCAGCAGATCGTGGACGATGAACTGTGGAACAACCTGGTCTTCCCTCTCCCCAGCGGTGTCCGGCTGACCGCTGTGATGGATTGCTGTCACTCGGGGACAGGCCTGGATCTCCCGTTCACATGGAAGCACAACCGATGGTTGGAGGACGAGAACCCTTCCCACTCTTGCGGAGACGTCCAGCTGTTTTCGGGCTGCCAGGACGACCAGACCTCGTCGGATGGTGACGTTGAGAAGTTCAAGATCGGCGGGGCCATGACCAACGCCTTCATCCGTGCTTACAATGCCCAGCCCTTCCAGACTTACCCCGAGTTTCTCAGCCGACTCAAGTCGAACTTGAGGTCTGCAGGTTTCGGTCAGGTTCCTCAGCTCTCGTCGTCTCAGGCCTTCGATGTCAACGAAAAGGTGTTCTCCCTGGTAGAGGGCATCGTACCCAACACCAATGTCACAATCGGGAGGTTGCAGAGGAGGAAGATTCGCCCCAAGCGCCAATTCTTTGGTATGATGGACGAGTCAAACGTGATGGCTGCTGGAGCGATGCTTGGTAAGTGCCGCTGGGAGAGGTTGGCTTGTTCTTACCCTGATGCAGGTGGTCTCATGCTGGCTGACGCTCTCTTCGATTTCTAGAGTGATTTGAAAATTTGATGAGCAAATTAGCTCATGCGATGTAGAATCTTGATAAATTTAGAACACAAATCCCCGTCCCCCTCGAGCGCGGTTCTTGCAAATGTTTGATTGTTTATACCGACAGCAACATGCAAAAAGGCTTGCTTATCACAACTGACAAGCATAAACTGCCATGCTCGTCTTATCACCATAGAGCTGAAAACAATCATGTCAATACATTTCCCGGTGCGGAAAACATGATTTCACCTGGCATCTTGGTCTCTGAAAGTTGCTGGGATTGTAGATGAAACTGTTCTGGTTAAGCCAGACTCCCACGGGTGCGTCGTGCTGCTCGAAGGACATGAAAGCTTTGAAGTTGCCGCAGAGTCCGCCATATGCATTCTTGTTGATCTCATCCCAAGTGGGACGATCTGCAACTTCACGTCAACAGCGACAAATCTCGTCAAGAGCGAGTCACCAGCAAACAGAGACATCAGGGCAGTGGCGTCACTCTCAGTGAACCTCATGTCCGGGGTGAAAGCATTGCAGTTCTCTGCGATGACGTCAGCCTCTACCTTGCATACCCCCTCCCCTTGAGGTCCAACCAGGCACGTTGTCCGCGTTCTCTTCGAGGAGAGCACCCTTGAAGCAGATACCGCGGTACATCTTTCCTTCCATGGCCGAGCAGAGCCTGCTAACAGACTCGCCGAGGGGTCCAGGAGGTCCCTTGGGTCCCTGGGGGCCCTCGTCGCCAGGAGGTCCCTGTGAGCAGATCGTCAGCTGTGCCTTGCATGAGGAGGAGCATCGTCTGCCTCTTACCTCAGGCCCAGCAGGTCCATGCATTCCTTCATCTCCCTGGGGGCCCTGCGGTCCCTGACGCCCTTTTGGACCCTACGTAGCGGAACTCGTCAGCTCAGGTCCAGCTCATAGCTTCTCCACTGTGGTCTCCTCGACTCACCGGGATGCCCTTTGGTCCAGGAGGGCCCTGAGGTCCAGGATTTCCAGGCTGGAGGGAGGGAAATAAGTACAACCCCCCTGTGCTGCATGAAAGAAAATTACCTTGCCAGGAGCACCGTCCTCTCCTGGAATGCCAGGGCGACCAGGAGGGCCCTCAGGACCAGTCTTCGTCTTGAGGTGGGACACGATCTCCTTGTACTGCTGTCCCTTCTTGAAGATCCTGTCCTTGATCTTCTGGATGACCGTTTGCATCTTTCTGTCATACTTGTCCACCATTTCCCTCTGCGCAAGACCATCAAGCAAGTTCGAAATCAAGCTTCAGCACTCGGAACGAGTGCAAGGCAAACAATGCAAGAGGATAGTTGAAGTGGATCCAACCTGCTGCTCCTGAATGTCCTTAGCCTTGTCGTTGTCCTTCTCAAGCTTGTGTTCCAGTTTCTGGCAGACAAACAAGTCAAAACATCGCTGAAGGCAATGCCGACAGGACGACCTTGATCTTCTTCTCTTGCTCGATGCACTCCTTGCATACGGGAACCTTGAGCGGTCTTGGTCCAATGGTGATAACATTGGGCTGTGCTGGCTCTCCATGATCCGGCAGCTCAACGGGTAGCTCGAAGGACAGAGGGACAGACTCCGGTGCTGCATCGGTGTTGGTCGCCATGGTTCCTTCAACCTCGTATTCCTGGTCGAGCTTCTGTCCTTTGGCAAGCTTGATTTGCTTCTTCATCACTGCCTTCTGAAGCAATTGCGTGCTCCTCTGCCTGTTCCCGTAATGGGACAAGCCTGTAGGTGCATGGTGACAACGCAGCAGGTCCAGAAACTGACAAAAAATAGAGAAGTGCACAACACCATAGCATCAATGTTGCAAAGCATGCAAAAGGGATCACATCATTGGACGATTTCTTCACAGTCCACATCCTGCGCTGCTTGCTGACACATAAGGACAGCAAACACCATGGAGCATCAGAAGTTCTAGGAGGGCTGCTGGCAGGAAGGACATTCCTCGCACATACAAACAACACAGACAGCACACACAAGAGATAGGATAACAGCACAGACAGGAGATGATAGAAATTTCTCAAGTTCTGACATGCCTCACCTGCGATGATCATCAACAACCCCAGTGCTCCCAGCGCAGCTGCCGCCATCCCCAGTGCCCGCGCCGAACGGCCCATGGCTCGTTGGCTCTTCGTGAGCAATCGGGCTTGAGTGGGGACGAGGGCTGGGTGGATGGGTTGGTCCCTCATACCGCACGAACATGTTGGTTACAAGAAACAATAATACAGGCCTGCCTCAAATATTATATAATAAAATGTAAAAGGCAGTGTTTATTGTTAAGAAGCTCAAAATTAGTTCGGTAAAAACGAGGCGGGGGCAGCAGGACCAGGAGGAATCCGCAATGGCTTCGCCGATGGAGGTAAGGAAGTTGCTGTGGAGGCAGGAGGGAGGAATCAACTGAAGATTCTCTTGATGCTGGTTATGTGTGATAACGATATGCAGCAGTGGGGAATGGGATGAGGAAGAGGAAGAAGGAATGTTGAGAGAAGAGGTTGGATGGAGAAAGAACTATTACAGACAACCGCGGTCTGATTCTTCCGGTCTGATTCTTCCTCAGATTTTGCAGTTTGTAGCATCGGACCCTGCATTGAGAAGCATAGGAAAAATCATAGCAACGCTGTTAGTTTCCTTGTTTTCAATCAGCCTCATGCTCAAGAGGACTGGGAGTGGCTACTGGCTAGCACCAAAGACGTCGAAGTCGAAGAGGGCCTGTGAGTTGTGGTTCTTGGTCTATGGATGTTTCTGGATATCTTGCTTTGGTATCATCATCGCTCTGCGTCTGTACGACGATTTCGATAGGAAGGACTACTTTCTAGTGTGCGGCGGGCTTATGCTTCCCCTCCTCCTGCAACCCGTCTTGTTTCCCAAGATCACGGCGGATGACGGCCGTCCTCTCCTGGAGAGACATTCCTTCAAAGCCAACGTATGGATCTTTATCTTTGGATTCATTGGCAACTACTGGTGACACCACTTACTCTTGCAAGAGGCTGATCGTTGACTTGCTGCACAACAGGTACACACACTACTTCTACAACGTTCTGAAAGCATCCTACACGATGAAGAGCTGGGATGTGAACGGAGTTCCCATTCCCATGTTCTTTGCTACGCATTTCTACTTCACGTTTTATCATGCCCTGTCAAACATGGCAATTAGAAAAGCTGTCTCGACGTACGAAAACAGCTTTGCAAGAACCATTTACCTCATGCTGCTCATATTCACCATGTCATATATCACGGCATTCATGGAAGCCTTGACTATTTCGGGGTGACAGCTGCTTGGATTATTTTGCTCCTGCTCATGACCCACGATTCAGATTTTCCTGCTACTCCTTTGCAGACCGACACATGGCGTGGATACTTGGCTCAGCGTTCTACGGGTGTGATAACATGTGGTATTTCTGTCGCTCGATGTGACAAGCTTGTGCCCATAGGATATACTTCATTGTCTCATTCCCAATGTATTACCGAGTGGATGAACTCAAAGTGCCTCACTCTGCATTCCAAGCTGCCATCGAGAGTTTGGCATCGGTAAGACAAAGTGCTAGCAGTCATGTGGTGTTTTTACTCACACCCTTACCCTCAGGGTATGATGGTCCTTTGTCTGCTAGACTTTGTTCGAGTTTATCTGAATCTAGTGAGTTGTGTTCAATTTTTCTTTCATCTAATTCATATCTCTCGTCTCCGGGAGCATTGCACCTTTGAGGTGGAATAGAATTGGAGTTTAATGATTCTCTTTCTGTTTGAAACAGGATCTGGAATTTCGCCTCAATCGACCCTGCAAGCTTGATGGATCGTTGACTTGCGCTCCTTTCACTGGACAGATATGTTAAATTCTCACTCTCAAAATGTTTATTGAAAAGATCGGTTGTACTCACGACTTTCCCTTGAACATATATTGCGAAGGCTACCACCTCCTAAATGTCTTGTTCCAACAACTCGTTGATCACTGCCAGCCGCTCCCCGCGCCGCAGCTCGAAGTTCACGTCATCTCCTCCCAGCACCTGATAGATCAGCTTCGCGTCCTTGCGCGCAGCATTCGCAAGCACCACAACTACCAGCCCCTCGTTCGCCATCTGCTGGGAGATGTGGCTGATTCTCTCCTCCGCTGCTTCCGGCAGAGCTCGATGCAGCAGCTTGGTGAGATCTGCGACGACTTCATCGAGCTTCTCGTCCCTTACCCCTTCCCTGTGATCTTTCTTTACGTGAAGGTGGCTCTCGGCCTCGGACGCGATGATTCTGCCCTGTCGTGCTGCTTCTGCCTTCGCCTCCTTCCCCCAGAAGAGGCCCAATGTCGAAAACATGCCCCACCCACTGTACTGGATCGGCATGAGAACGCTCATTGTGTAGCCGAAATGAAGCACAGTCGTCAAGAAGATGGCTCCCGTCGCAATCGTTGCCGTCCAGGCCGCCCAGGCATCATCGCGCAGCCATTGTGCCAGCACCCCAAGCGCAACAAGCAGCACACAGCTCAAAAACGTCGAGACGAAATAAATCATGGTCAACCCCTCGGACTTGCTCAGGATCCCATAAAGTGTCGAGGGCATCTCCGCAGCGATAGCCAGCAGGATGTAGGTGGTGAACATCACGTTGAGAGCGTTGATCGTCATGCACAGCTCGGCCAGCAGGTTGAAGCAGTTGGCAAGCGTCCTCTTGTCTGCACTGATGCTCGAGACGTCTACCGGAGTCAGCGAGACACTGGTGACTCCCGAGAGGATGAGAGCTGCCATGAGGTTTACGTTGGAGTACATGGCCATGGTCCGGTCTACCACGTACTCTGCAGGGACCCTGAGCAGCTGCTTGAATGTTGGGTTATGCAGGTAAAACTTCGGATTTCTGAGATCACAAAGGATCTTCTCGAAATCTTCTGGTATGCTGATCTTAGCCTGCAGCGAGTTTTCCCTTTCGCTGTCATGCCCAACAGTTTCAGGTTGGTGTATCGAATCAATCATCGGGTACGATGGAAGTTAGTACCACGAGGAAATCCAGTACGTTCTGGTCGTTCAAGCATCATGAGCACGGGCGACAAATTCATATGATCTCTCGATCGACGTGTGCCATTTCGTCTCTCATGCCACAACTAACGCCCGCATCATGGCATTATATTGCTTTCGTTGTATTCCCATTTCCGTCCGGCGTGTGCAAAACAAATTTAGCTTACGGAGATGAATATCAAATAGATTAGCTGAGTTTTTAAACCGCAAGATAGAAGTGTAGTAAATAAGGTAACTTTGTTTTAGTCAAATTACGTCATCACAAAAAGGTTGCTCAGCACGATGGTGAAGAAGCCTGAAATCGAGATTTTTAAAAGAAGTTTTAGAATGGGTGGACTTTACTTTATATTTCAAATTTACATCAGTAATTTGATAAATATTTTCGAAACGTGCCAATCAGGATTTTCACAACCGTGCCCGAATCGGGTGGGTCCCACTGGTCATTGAGCTAATAGTACCCCTCATTTTCCTAAAACTGAATGGGATAATGGAGGGTAGGTACAATTGACAATACCTCCCCTCCACGTCCTCGGACTTACATGGACCCTCCCCACTTCCTACCTCTCGTCGACGGTAAAACCACCCCTCATACTAGCACCCCCTTCCGGGCTGGATATGCGCAGGCCAGTAACGATGCTGTGAAGGGAGCGAGGCGCTTCTTCACGTTCCCTCCGGTCCTCTCCTCCTTCAGGCCTCCTTTGTCCATCTTCTCATTACCTGTGTTCACTCCTAGTCCTTTCATTGTGTCTCCAGGTCAAACTCATCTGAACCACCCTTGACCTCGACTGCCGCTGTGCTGGCTGCAAGGCAGAGGCTTTGTTTGAATCTGTAACAATAATCGGTTACTCTTCCAAGCGCTGTCTGAATCAGTCGCCTTGACATGAAAATACTTTGTTCCTTCGATAAAGAGTTTTTATCGCTTCCTCCAAGCGAAAAGGTTTGAAGGAACAAATCAAAACAAAACCATCTTTACACTGCACGACAAGGCCAGTGTAAGAATTTAGCAGCGGCAGTCTCAATCCATTTTTCAATTAATCTATAGATGAATTGACATTTGATCTGCTTATTGCGATTTCGATTGAGGGCTTATTCCTTTCGTCCACTTTTGAACAAAACACTGAGCAGCAGATTTCGGTCAGTTAAATCCTCTTGGGAAGTCCATGAGTTAGGAAACTGTTCTACTCGGCACCTGGCAAGATACAAAATGCCTCGCCCGGCACTTGAGCAATCCCGGAGAAGTCGCCCCACCGATCACGTGGCAAGGACGAGAGGGAACACAAGAAGGCGGAGCAGCTTGTTGAGTTTGGCAGTTCCAGCAGAGCATTTCTGCTGCGGATGTTGCACTCCACTGGCAAGAGCAGTGACGTACACATGTTACTTGATGATCTTTTACACTGTACACAATGTCACAATATTTGCGATTCAGCATCTATCAAACGATTCTGCTGGCCCTCACCGGTTGCAGTGGTCAACCGCGCTCCAGTGGATTCTGTTGCTACTTCGGATTTTTGACATTTTCGGTTACACTGTTGGTGTGTTTGCAGTAAGGAACAGGGATCTGTGGAAAGCGAAGATTTTTTACATCTCCCTAATTATTGGAGCGATCCTGAGAACAGCTTACTGGATAACACATTTGATTACAATTAACAAGTATTGTGCGGAAGTGCCCTCTTCAAACTGTCATTCCAGCAATTTTACAGATGGGATGTGGAATTTGGTGGTAGCAGTGATCCTCTACAATTACCTTGCGTACATTGCGTGGTCCTTCAGAATCCGCTTGGAGGACGGCAGTGCCTACGGTGTGATACGACAACCTCAAACAGGGGAGTACATTTTTGGGGTTTCCAGTGAGTTGTATCGAGCATCATCGCTGATTCACCATCGGCCGCAAATTCCGATGCTTGTCGTTTACGCTCGTCCTTTCGGGGAGTATCTTCACAGCAAGGTCGAGCCTGCGTTGGGTGAGACAGGCGGATCTCTTTGGATGTATTGTCGCTGACTGAGCATTGTAGGGATGCCTTTGACGGACCGTCCATTGGAGACATCAAGACAAGAGGCTGTTCTGGGACGTGCAGCATGGCCCGCACCAGTGTCGTCTGTGGACATGGATGGCCATGGATTGAGCAGCGATGCCATGGAGGCAGGACGAGATGTGGATTATTCGTCGTCGGACGACATGTAAGCTATCATGTTTGTGACTCGTGACCTCACTTTTCAATTGACTTTCTCTTGTTGCTCCAGGTATTCTTTGGAGATTGTTGGGCTGTCGAATCAACAAATCGAGGAGAGGTTGAATTAAGTTTTTCCTGATGGCTTTCAGGAGAGACTCAGTTATTTTTTTTCCACCGTGGCATGTCACAGTTTTGTTTTGGAACGCATCTCGATAACTGCTCTAGGCAGTCTATCCTCTCAGTTTTCGCCGGTTATTTTCATTGGTACCGTGATTTACACTGTGATTCGCAGTCGAAAGGTTCAGTGAGAGCGCTCTGATCACTGTCAATGATTGACTCTCAGTGTGACGGCCCGCTTTGTTTCACGGTGGCTTGTTATAATCCTTGCCCATAAATGAAGTTGCTACCAAGCTGACCGATTCCATGGGCCGCATGCCACGCGCGCCGACCGTCACCGTTAAGTTCCGGGCCCCTCGTCACGGTGGCAACCGTTGAACTTCCGAACTCCGCCCGGCCCGGCCGTTCCGAAACTTGAAACCAAATTGGGCCCGGCGGCGCACCGCGGTGACGGTGACCGTGCGCTGCCGGGGCCCGGCCCCCCGGGCCACTGGCACTTGGCCGGGCTGACACTGGCTCGGAGTCACCGATAATGATGACTCAGTGAGCTAGCACTTAATTATAATCATGAATCGACTCTCCTGATTGTCCTCGTACTGATTTTTGACTTAACTTTGAGTAAAGAATCCTACGTGAGGACTACGGCTCAGTGAATGCTGCCGCGCCCCCGGGCCCACCCCACGCCCCCGGGCCCACCCCACGCCGCCCCGGCGGCCCCCGCCCCGGGCCGCCGGGCCGCAGGCCGGGCCGGGGCCAGGGGGGGGATGAGGGTCAGCGCAATGGCTCTTCGGTGATGGGTAAGATGTTTGGAGGAGATTGGCAGGAGAGAGAAGGAAGGAGAGAAAGATGGATCAAAGTATGAACAGATAGCAAGAAGAGAAGACACCTTGTTGTGATGCTCAGTGCTCCTTTAGTTCAGAAGGGTTTCACCTTCGTTTTCTTCTCATTTGCAGTCACTCGTGGCCAAGTAGTTTATGCCTTGCTAGTTTGCTTCATCTCCATGCGTTCATCTATCTGCTCTAACACCCTCAAATCTGTTATCACGAATGCGATCCTGCGGACACAATGCCTCTGTCAGCTGGCTTGTTTTTTTGTGAATCTGCCAACATCCATATTTCGACCGGAATGATACAATTATTTTTGGAAGTTTGTGTCCCTGATCATTGTCAATTTCGATCCCGCTTCATTGACTTTCTTCATGGATTCACAGGGGGGTCGGAATTTCTTATTGATTGTCAAAATACCTGAGCAACACGAATCTTAGTTGCGAGAATCATCGATTGGTACACCGCAGGGCCAACTTGCCATAAGTAATGACTGAGGTGGATGCATCCTTGCACTGCCTCTAGTCTTGTATGACACCTGGTTAGATGCAATCGAAGCAGGGGATGAGCATCGATGAAGCTCTCGACCGCATCGGTGATCCCCATTCTTTTTCGCTGACATGGCCATGATGGTTTTCTTGAACAGATCTCGGAAGGGGTCAAATATTTTCCATTGCAACGATGTGCTTGCTCTGGATCGGTGAAGGCATGCAGATCTTCATCTTCTTCTACCTCCCGAAGGCTTTGAATGATGATTGGGGAACACCAGCGGATGACGTCGCATGGATTGACGGTGATGATGAACCTGACTTGAAGATTGAAGTTCTTGTCGCTGAAATGAGACGTTACCAGGTGCGATGTTTCTTGGTGTAGCAATAGGCGCACTGATCGGGGGATACACCGGAGATGCCTATGGCAGACGACCGACTTTGCTCTTCTTCGTGGGTCTTTCTGTCATCTCCGGCTTGTTCTGTTGGTGGTTTGCGCAAAGCTTCATTCATCTGCTCCTTGTCAGATTCGTTGTTGGTGTGGGAGCTGGGGGTTTCGCTCCGGTCTCGCTGTCACTGACCCTTGAAGCCTGTCCTTCACGGTACCGAGGCCGGGTTGCGTTGGCAGTTCCAGGGTTTGCTGGGGCGCTGGGGCGCGTCCTGACAGCTGCATTGGCAGAGGCCTTATATGACACTTCCTACAATCCACATTACGCAAGGTTCAATTGGAGAGGCTGCATCGTGATCTGCACGATCCCTTTCATCTTGGGATTCTGCCTTGGCGTTTATGCCATATCGGAATCAGCAAGGTGGTTGCTTGTCAAGGGACGAGGTGAAGAAGCGAGTGATGGGCTGCACAACTTAGCCCTGAGGAATGGAACAGCGGACGAATTCCCCAAAGGAACTCAACTGAGGAAGGTGGAGTGTGACGAGCTGGAGGCGATGGATGACGTTTCGTGGCATCGACTCTTTATGGAGCCCTTGCTTACACCTCTCCTCCTCACCTCGATCTCACATCTCTGCATAGCAATCGCTTACTTCGGAATGATCTTCTCTCTTCCGGTGTACCTCGATGTTTACGGCGCGGCCCACGGATGGACAGAGGAGCAGAAAGATCTCATCCTTGTCATAGTCGCGGTATCTGAGGTTCCGGCTCTGATGATTGCGATGTGGACCATTGAGATTTATGGCATCGGGAGACGGTACACAGTGATTGCAAGCATGATTGGTTGTGGGATTTCCTGCATAATCTTCAACTTTCACGTCGTCGCAACTGCCTTGAACAACACTTATGCGCTGGTCATCCCGAACTTCTTGGGGAGAGGGTTTGCTGCCGCGGCCTTGATCACTGGCAACGTGTACATGGCGGAGATGTTCCCCACTGGAACTCGAGCAGCTGCAGCTTCCATTTCCAGAGCCTCTGGTCAGGTTGGCGCAGCTCTTGCTCCCATCGCTGCAGGGTTCCTTCTTGTGGACTACAGGCAGGGAGACTATGGAATGTGGACAAAGTTGCAGCCTCTAAGAGTTTACGTTCTCTTTTCCATCTTCTCGTTTCTTGGAGCATTTCTCTTCTACGAGCTCGGTGCAGAAACAGCCGGAAGGCACCTTGCCAACACCCAGCAAGAGAGCATGGAGCAGGTAATTCATCCTTGCACTTTCTACTTCAATCTTACGTTTCCGGCTGCAGATCGAAGAGGCTCCAGATAAAAGTGAACTCCGCCTTTCATCGACCATAAAGGAGATCCTCGGCGACAAGAACCAAGCGACAGATTCCGAGAAGGAGGGCTTGCTGAAAGACCTGCCAACGAAGGAAGCCGGCGATGAAGGATGGCAAGCTAAACCCTACCAGTATTGATATTCATTAAGCACTTTATTGTACCTTGCATGCTGCGACAAATCTTTCAAATGATGTTCAGCTACTCAGTGTTGCGTTGTTTTGACATCGACAAGGACAGCAAGCAGGATATCAGATTGGAGACAGAATGATTATTTGTCCTGAATTCACATCAAGAGCGTGGCAGCGGGGACCCAAACAAATACCTTGTCGTGCTCTTCCTCTTCCTCTTCTTCCTCCTCCTCATCGTCATCATCATCGTCGTCATCCTCAAAATCCTGTCGTGATTGGCTCAGAAATTCTTTACGACATATGTTGTGTACCTCTGGCGGTCTTGGTCGTCCACTGGAGCCTACATGGATCAAGGAAGACTTCATTCAACAAGCAACCGTAGACCAAGAAAACATGCATGAAAGACAAAAATGCAAAGTCCAAGACAAACATCAAGCGGGCGGTCAGACAAGGAAATCAAATATGTGGGAATATGGGAAGGCAGTTCATCAGTAGGACGTGCATGCATAGACGGGAAGGCATGCAGATACGCAGGCAGATATGATAGTAAACAATTGAGTAAATTAGACAATCGAGCCACAAACTCATTCAGACATGTAGGCAGGCGGGCGGGCGAGAAGGCAGACGCAGCCAAGGGCGGTAGTTCATTCAATAACTGACCGGATCCAGCCTTGGCGAGAGTCTTCTTGACCTTTCCATCCGAGCTTTCTCCTCCTCCTCCTCCTCCTCCTCCTCCGATACATCCGCAACCCATCAGCACCACAATCACGATCCCTGCCAGCATCGCCAGCACCGGCGCGAGCGACATCAGCCCCTCCTGCTCCATTGCGCCCCTCCTTTCCCGCCACTACCCCTACCCCTCTACAACACCATTCACATTCATTTCAAATTTTACCCCCAAATACAGAACATTGTTTTTGAAAATTTCAAAATAAAAGATGAAAAATAATTGTTACTCCAAATGTTTAGACCTGCTACCCCTGCACCCCCACCTCCTCTGCAACAGAGGTCCAATTCTGGGTCCATGATTAGTTCCCCCGGCTCCCAGCCTGACAACATCCTGCGATGTTTTTCTTCTTCTTTTTTTCTTTTACAGTTTGATCACGACCCCCACAAAAGATTCCAGTAGAGGTGTTACCTGGTTACCCCCGAAAAAAAAATGTTTTTTTACTCCAGTACTAACATGTTACACTTGAGTAATATAAAACTGGGGGGAAGGAGCCGAGGTAGGCAGGTAGGAGGAGGGGAAGCAGGAAAGTAAGGCGAAGTGTGCGGGAGTTCTCATCGAGGAGGATCTGAGCAGTACTTTCATCCCTTATCCTTCCCTGCTCTGTGTTGTTTGCCGCCCTCGCAGTAGGCGGTGAGCTCTAGCTTCTCGAGGGCCTGGGGTATGCCTTGAAGCATCTCAGTTCAGTGCCAACAACTGCCCTGCAGGGTTCTGGTGGAGGAGAGCCTCACATCGCAATGCACCGTCTCAGAGGAAAGCGCTCAGCGGTCAGGGGAGATGTGGCCATGGCTACTCCGCAAGAACTCTTGACACATGACAGCGACAGGCAGAGGTTTCACAATATCCTACATGACCTCAGAAATCCAAGGCTGCGCATACACAACCCCACAACCAAACAGCTGCTCAGAGTCCCTGCCGAGTACGTGGTAGACCGGACCATGGGCATGTACTCCAACGTAAACCTCATGGCAGCTCTCATCCTCTCGGGAGTCACCAGTGTCTCGCTGACTCCGGTAGACGTCTCGAGCATCAGTGCAGACAAGAGGACGCTTGCCAACTGCTTCAACCTGCTGGCCGAGCTGTGCATGACGATCAACGCTCTCAACGTGATGTTCACCACCTACATCCTGCTGGCTATCGCTGCGGAGATGCCCTCTACCATCTACACCTTCCTGAGCAAGTCCGAAGGCTTGACCTTCATTTACTTCTTTGCGACGTTCCTCAGTGGAATTCTGATCTTGGTGCTGGGTGTGCTGGCACAATGGCTGCACGGAGATGCCTGGGCGGCCTGGACGGCAACGATTGCGACGGGAACCATCTTCTTGACGAGTGCAGTACACTATGGATACTTGATGAGCGTTCTCATGCCGATCCAGTACAGTGGGTGGGGTTTTTTCGCTTCGCTCAACCTCTTCTGGGGGAAGGAGGCGAAGGCAGAAGCAGCACGACAGGGCAGAATCATCGCGTCCGAGGCCGAGAGCCACCTTCCCCTGGAGAGAGAGTACCGGGAAGGGGTAAGGGACGAGAAGCTCGATGAAGTCGTCGCAGATCTCACCAAGCTGCTGCATCGAGCTCTGCCGGAAGCAGCGGAGGAGAGAATCAGCCACATCTCCCAGCAGATGGCGAACGAGGGGCTGGTAGTTGGGGTGCTTGCGAATGCTGCGCGCAAGGACGCGAAGCTGATCTATCAGGTGCTGGGAGGAGATGACGTGAACTTCGAGCTGCGGCGCGGGGAGCGGCTGGCAGTGATCAACGAGTTGTTAGAGCACGAGTAACGAGGGAAGAGAAGGAGGCTATGGTACAAAAGAGTCGACCAGGTCCCTCTGAGATGTTTAGCAGATTTTTGGGCACAGTAAGGTGCAGCAGAGAACGTTTTTGTAGAAACACTGATGAAACTATCATCATAATGACACACTTATGAAGCTATCCATCTTCCAGACTTCTTCCCTCCTCCCCTCCCCGCGTTACAGCGCGTCTCCTCCTTCGCCCAGTTCGCCCGATTGTCGCGTCTCTTTTACGTAAAGCGTAATCGGAATAATAAGAGGTGGTGGGGGTGGTGAACTGCAGGGTCAGTGTGGGATAACTGATATTGAAAATGTAAGAATATACAGGGTGGGGTAGAAAAGGAGGGGTATATGCTCCCCGACCATGTTATAGGGAGCTCGTAGTTAGCCATGCGAGGGAGAGCGCTGCTACTGGTCCGCCCTGACAGGCTGGGTGGGAGGGTGACAGGAAGGATGATGAAGGTGAGAGCGAAGGGGACGCTACCCTTGCCCGCCATGGAGAACACGAGAGCGAGGACGAGGAGTCAGGTACTTGAGCTGTTTCATCATGAGGGGATATTGCCTGGTGGCACCATCCCACGCACGAGACCCCATGAGGGGCATGCAGCAGCCTGGGTGAAGAGGCCAGCCTCTCCGCACATGAGCAGCATGACAGCGGGTGTTAGATCATGGCCGCAGGCCCAGAGGGCAGCTCCTTCCTCACGACGAGCAAGCTCCGCTAGGAGGGAGACTGCAGACATCGTCATCGTAGGCGCAGGTCCTGTCGGGGTGTATTCGGCGATCCTGCTCTCGAGGTTCGGGCTTCCCTGCGTTGTAGTGGACAAGGGAGATGGCGTGTATGACCTGGAGAAGAGCATGGAGATGCACCCGCGCGCTCACGTGCTCAACGTACGGAGCATGGAGCTGTTAGACGAGGTGGGGTTGTACGAGCCCCTGGAGAAGGAGATGCCGCCGCTGGATCAGTGGAAGTACTTTCGATACACGACCTCCCTGATAGGAACTGAGTTCGGGGTGATCGATCACTGCGACGATGGGGATGGCGCCTACTCGAACCTCAGGGGCAGCAGCCACGTGTTCGCGTGCCACATTGCTCAGCCGAAGCTCGAGTACCACCTGTGGAAGCTTGCTAGGCAGAGCCAGGGCATTCGGTTCCTTACACAACACGAGATGACGGACATCGGCAAGGACGGGGACGACCTGGTCGTCAAGCTCTGCCCCCATCCGCCCCCATCTGACGCCGCAGCAGCAGGGGGGGCGGTGGATATCACCTGCAAGTACTTGATCGCAGCTGATGGCTCGAGAAGCAAAGTGCGGGAGGTCTGCAACATCGGGCTGGAGGGGAAGCGCGGGATCGAGAGCTTCGTCAGCATCCACTTCAAGTGCCCCGAGCTGGCAGGCAGGCTCCAGGGCAAGTTCGCGATGCTCTACTTCGTGTTCAACCCCAAGGCAAGCGAGCGAGGGGCTCGAGGAGGGCGAGGAGGCTGAGTGAGTGCATACAGGTCATAGCGTGCATTGTTGCCCACGATATCAACCAGGGGGAGTGGGTGGCGCAGGTTTCGGGTGTTGGGACCGTGACCAGTGTATGACGTCTTTGGGTGAAGGTGCCGTACTTCCCCCCAGCGCAGGATGGGATCCTGCGAGCAGAGGAATGCCATGAGCTGATCGCAGCGATCATCGGCGCACAGCCGACGGGGGATGTCAGGGAAGGTGGGGAGGAGGGTTCCAACGTCTCGAGTGGAATCGCCGAGGACGGGCGGCCTATCTCTTGGAAGCTCTGCAGGTTAACTTGAAACCTCCCCAGCTGCCCTCCAGCTGACGTCCAGCAGTTGGAGGCCATGGTCGATGGATGCCATGATCGCCTCCAAGTACTCCGTGGACGGGAGGATCTTCCTCGTGGGCGATGCTGCGCATCAGTTCCCCCCGTCAGGAGGGTTCGGGCTCAACTGCGGCCTTCAGGTCCCCAGGCTGCTGCTGCCTCCGAGGCCCGGGGTGACCGTTCGCAGGATGCGCACAACCTTGCCTGGAAGCTAGCAGCCGTCCTCAGGTGCTCCAAGAGCGCCTCCGTCCTGGATTCGTACCAGGTTGAGAGGAAGCCAGTGGCACGAGACACTGCAGTGAGTGAACTTGCTGCGCTGCTCGGGCCCTGGTCCTGAGGCTCCTGCCATGCAGATGCTGAGCATCGAGAATCACGCGAGGGGGCTCCTGGTTCCTTCAGCGGTCAAGACGACGATGCTCTCTAGCTCGAAGCTGGCATGATGGTGTGTTTCAGGTTGGGTTGGACAGGGACATGTTGAGCTCCATGACGCAAGGCTTGCCTGCTAGTCTGCTGCAATCTTTCTCTACCTCAGCCAAGTCGCTGGTCCGAGAGCCTCTTCCATGCCCAGTCACACCCTGACATGCAGACACAGTCACAAAGCCTCCTACAAGTCGCTCAGAGCCCGCTGTCGCTCATCCAGTCATTCTCCAAGGTGGCGCATCATTCTGCGGACTTCCTCCTCTATCCTGATCTCGTTGCCGCAGGACCCGACCTCCCCTCCAGCCTCCTCGCACAACCTTGAGAAGATGTTGAAGATTTTGCTCGGAACCCCCATGGCCAGGGCGATGCAACGAACGGTAACTTCGAGTTGGACGGCGAGCCTTGAGAGCTCATCTCCCATCCCTTTCTCTGCTCCTCTTCCCGCCAGGTGATCGAGCGGAAATCCATCCCTCTTCTCTTCCCGGAGCACGATCTGGGCGCGAAGTATCCTCTGAACGAGGTCGTTCGGTGCGGAGCGACGGAGAGCACAGGGACGGGCGACTCCACCTCTCCCTCCTTGGGGCCCATTGGCAAGAGCTCTCTCCCAGCAGGCACCAGGCTCTACAAGCCTAGCGGGAAGCCCGGTTCCAGGCTGCCGCACAAATTTCTCCGAAGGTATCTGGTACCTCTGCCAGCAAGACGGTTGATGAGTCTCCGACAGGGTTAAGGACGGGAGGGTCGCCTCGAGCAGCAGCTGGGTGTCGGAGCATGCCGTACGATTGCGACTCTCTCCTCTCCTCGCTCAGAGGCCGCAGGTGTCTCCGAGTGTCCATGCTCCTCAGTTTGTTCTCTTCCTCGTGGGATCAACCAAGTCGATTCAGTGCTGGGTTGACAGGTGACCTGCGCCCCTTCTCCCCCACGACTTTGAGTGACTGCTGGACCTGTCAGTCTCGGTGCGTCAGACTTCCTGAGTGTCAACCTGGGGAAGCTGGCCCTGGGGAAGCGAGCTGCAGTAGCTTCGACGATGGAGGCTTGCATTATTGGGGTGACAGGTGAAGAAAGTCCGTCGGGAATGTGAGCAAAGGGAAGGGAAGGGATGAGTATGACACAGTTTGCAGGAGCGCGTGCGAGCTCATGGTCGACGAGTCACGAGGAGAGTTCAGAGAGGTTCTTGGCATGCAGCAAGAGGGAGCCGTGCTCGTACGACCCGATGGCTACATTGCGTGGAGATTCGTCGGTTCTGCTCTGGACTTGAAAGAAGCAGAGCTGAGATATCTTGCTTCTGTTCTCACTTGAGCAATGCTACGCACTTTTTGTTGACCAACCCTTATGTAGTCAAGATACGTGATGAAGCAGAGAGTTTTCTCAGTAAAAGAATTCACGAACAATCTCTGATCCCGTGTGGAATGAAATTTTCCTTCATTTTCCTTCTCAACTGATATCTTCTTTCCTTCACTCCCTCCCTCCCTCCCTCCCTCCCTCCCTCCTTCCCTCCCTCCCTCCCTCCCTCCTCTCGTCGCCTGCATAGTCATCCACATGCTTGGTCCCCGGCACCTCGGCCATTCACCCCGACAAAGCCTTCTTTGCATTTCATCATATACTCTCAGATCTGTCAGTGAATGAAGCCCTTCTAGCTCAGTCGGCAGAGCGCACGGCTTTTAACCGTGTGGTCGCGGGTTCGAGCCCCGCGAAGGGTGGGAATTTTTTTTTTGACGCAGATCGGCATGCCGAGTCGTTTTTGTGCGGCCGGGCCGCCTACCAGCAAGTTACGACCCCGGGCCACCACTTCCCGGACTCAATAATGAAATGCTGAGTCACTAGTACTGAGCAGATCGCACGTGACCGTCCGGGACTCGGGAGATCTGATCTAGTAAGTCTGCAGTGATGCCTGGCAACTTGCGGCCGCGAAGGACTACTGAGCCATGCTGGCATTGGCCCCGGCCTAAGTAAGCCTTTACCGTTACACTGCAGTGGGAGCCTGAGCCGCCCACGGCTGAGGCAAGAGTGGAGGAAGGGCCTGGCAACCGGGGCAGGGCAAAGTGCCTCCGACGAGTCAGATGTCGGAAGCGGTCAATACAGTCGCAAAACTTCACAGTGATTACAGTTACCGTGACTGCAACTTGAACCGTGCCGAAACGCTTGTGAGCATCAGGGGCCTCGGAGATCAATTGAACTGGCAAGACTTCACGTCTGGAGTACGGTACTGAGTCATGGCTAGTACTTCCAGGCGGCCGCTGATCATCCGGCGTCACTGGCTCAGTCACTGGCACGCCGCGCCTCGTAAACCATCGGGCCTGCTCTCAGAGGTCCGGCGGAACACGAATCATTTCAACGATCGGCGTCCTTGACAATTGAGTCCGGTCGCTGAGCACGCATTCAAGCGTGAAACTTGAGGAGCCGGGCCGCCCCGGCCGAGCCTCGGAGACGAGTGGTAAGGGCCGGGCCGGGCCGGGCCCGCCCTAGTGAAGACATAATAATGGGCGGTATGAGGGTTGTCAGTTATGGCCGATTGGAAAGGAGAAGAAGGAGAGGAAGAGACAAGGAGAGGAAGAGACAAGGAGAGGAAGAGACAAGGAGAGGAAGAGACAAGGAGAGGAAGAGACGGAGGGGTTGAGTGTGATTTCTTTGAGGCAGGGAATCTGCTGAAGGCGCTAGGAAGCAAGGATATGTCTGCGTGTCAGATGGTGGGAGGCTGAAGCATGCTCGCTCCTCGCCCTGCTCTCTTCCTGCTGGCAACTTGCCACCTCCTGGCATCATCAGGAGTCATTGGTATAGTGCAGCTGCCCCTGTCATCGCCTGGGTAAGGATGAATCACCGCAGGCACTTGGAATAACATTCCAATATAACATTGCAATGGCAGGCAGGCAGGTTTTCCTGGTGTGCTGAATGGGCCAGGGAAGACGGTCTGTTACAACTTCAGCTTGACAGACAGTCAAGTCCGCGAGGTCGTATGGTGGACAAGCCCGCGCGTCGCGTTCTACTTGGAGCCATGCGCCGGCAAGCCGCACATGAAGATCTCAGTCTACGGTTGTCCTTCACAAGGAGGTTGACAGTTGCATCATCATCGAGGATTGTCGCTGACGTTTTACTTCCTCCTCCTCCTCCTCCTCCTCCTCCTCCTCCTCCTCGCCCTGTTTGTTCTACTGTTCCTCCTGCTGCTCCTCCTTCCGTTGCTGCTCAATCTCAAACAACGGGAAATAACTACCGCTTTGCAGGAACGTTGAAACGGAAAGTACCGATCGTATGGTGGTCGGAAGCAAGAAACTCGATGATATAAACATTTTGGAAAGAACCATCCTTAACGTAGAAATTGCGAGCGAGGTATGATACGAGACCACATAACGCAAGATGTCACGGTCTAGATAGCAGGGAAGGTAAGAGTGAGCAGATCTAAAACCTTCACTGCCCCAGCTGCTTCAACGAGCCTCCTCCTCTTCTCCAGTCTTGTCGTCCCGTCTCCTGAAGATTCTTCTGCTCCCCGAAGCTCTCGTCTCCGCCCTGGTCTCTGACCTTCTCCTCTACTTTCCCTCCTACCTTTCTCCTCCCCTCCCCCCTCTCGTCTTCACTCATCACTCCACTCTC